CTCTTATTTTGTTTATATTTCTTTATTTATATTTCTGATTTTCAGGATACCGGGTGGGAGGTTTAGGTGCTCCAGTGATAAGAAGGGAGCTGACCCGTTGTTCCCCTCCCCACGTTCAGCTCCCTGCCCTGCAGATGGGTCACGCTGTCACCCGGCACGAAGAGCCCCACGCCTTTGGGGCTGCCCCAGCTGCTGCTCCTGGGGACTCCTTCTCCCAGCTGATGGCAGTGTTCTCCTTGCTTTTAGCTCCTGGCCCAGCTTCGCTCCAGTGAGATGCAGCTGCCTGGGCTGTGCTTGGCAGCAGCTCCAAAAATACTGCTCCAAAGCAGCGGTGAGACACGGCAAGGCTGGAAGCAGGGAAGGGAAAGCTGAAGAAATAAAAGTCTGGAAATATGTAGGGCAGAAAAGGTAGCAAAAGGATTCTGAGTTAGAGAGGGCTTCCTCTCAACACAGGCATAAACATATAATTGTATATCCATATAATTGTATACCAATTATATAATTGGTCCGTGTATAATTTCTGAGATAAAGACACAGCTACACATAAGCTCACATGAAAAAAGAGATTGACTATGGATGTATAAATTTCCCTGCTGTCTGTGGCCATCACAGTTTATCAAAATGCAGGAGATAAACTGACACAGGCAAAGATGGGTCTGTTAAATGCAGAAATGTTGCTGCACCATTTAGTTCATTTGATACACATTCCCCTTCCAAGATATCTGGATTTTTACAGGTGAAACCTGTGCCTTAGATCCCCAGAAGAATGAAAACTGGCTTTATGTCTTTAAGGAGCCCGTGTTACAACCACAAACATCTTGCTGACTTTTTCAGGAGTCAGATTTCTGACTGCTTAGGTTCATCACAGCTCTGGCTAGTGATGGTAGCAAATGAGAAGGATTTTCTTACACAAAATGCAGAGATTTGATCACTGCACATGTTAGGGACGTAGCCTTAGGGGACTGTTTCCAGCTGTAACTTCAGAGCTTCACCACAGGGCCACAATTAAAAACTCAGGGCGGCCTGAAGACATTGCAATGTTTTAGAAACAAAATTCTGGACCTTGGAAAATTGGATATTGATTGTAAGGGAGAACAGGTCTCACCAGCAAAGTGTCTCTGCCTGGCAGGTTGATTTAAAAACATGGGCAGAGTTGATTGAGTTCTCCAGATCAAAGTCTGGAAGTAATTCTTTACTTATAAATTTGAAATGGTTCCCATACTTTAAGCATTACTCTCAAGTTCTTGAGTAGAAAACTAGAGACAACACAGCCCAAGGGAACACTGCCCTTCTTAAGATGTTTTCAGCATTCAGTGTCAGTCCAGTGTTGAACTGAAAGCAAGACTCTGTTCATGGTTTAACTGAAATCAGAGGGGATGAAACTTATGCTTGATATTTTACCAATTAAATCAATTTAAATTTGGGATGAATTTGCTCTGTCATGTCCAGTTAAATGAGAAAAAAAAATTGTAAAGCAAAAAAAAAAATCTATAGCAACAGTTATTTACCAGATAATTCAGAGCTATCCCATTCCTTGCAGTGTAAGGATATTCTTTCAAGGTTAGCCAGACCCAGTGTATGGATATGCAAGAAAAAATGATGCAGAAGCTGTCCATTTTTCTAATATGCACATTAAAATTTGGCTGATGGGATAGATGCTAATGGAAATATTCTTGGCCCCAGCTTCTGCTTGATAGATTATGTGATATTCATATACAAGTCAAATGGATAGAAATGTTCAAATTTATTGGAAAATGCAACTTCTACCCCAGTGTAAGGACAAATGGAGGATATGCTTTGCAGTATGTATAACATTTGAATTTAATAAGGAAAAGTTTGTTTGTGTCCCAACCCTTATTGTATGCTATACTGAGTTCAGGGTAGAATTTCTGGCTCAAAAAGATCTTAAGACAAGTTCTTCAGTCCTTGTTTTTCAGAGAAATGTTGCAGTTTTCAAGTTCACGGAAGATTTCATGTGTTCTTTCTGTTAGCTATCATTTCACGTTTACCAGTATTGCCCAAACTCTATTCATAAAAATAAAACTTGAAAAAATGAAACACAAATTTAGAGTATATTTATGTTACATATTACTGAATTTGGATTCACTGTTTCAGAGTCTATAGTAGAATAAAAGGCTTTAGACATTTCAGCATAAACAAAGCTAGCCTCAAAGGAAGAAGTCCATTATGCCTGAAGAGATTATATGGTGTTTGCAGATAGAATGCAGAATTAGTTTGTATACAACCCAAAACACACAAACAAATGCCAGAGAAAGAGAGAGCCCAAGGCCCACAGCACTGTGGGACATAACAGTATTCCCTGTGGACTCCGGAATTATCTGAATTAGATAAATTTAATTAACTGGTAGAGTGAGGATCTCTTTTGTGGCCTTTAGTTCTTCTGTAAATCCAGAAGGAACACTAAATCAACACATTCTATGACTTGGGAGCAGTTTTAAGGGAAAAGTTTGATTCTCAAGCTTTTTTTTTTTTTTTTTTTTTTTTTTTTTTTTTTTTTTTTTTTTTTTTTTTTTTTTTTTTTTTTTTTGGCAAGGCAATGTTCTTGTTTCAACCTGAAGATGTTCTTGCTGGAATTTTTAGTGTACCACATGCCAGCAAACTTCTCATATTGTTTCAGAAGGCCCAGAGCTACAGAAAGTCTCTGCCCTCACCTCTGCTCAGTGTGAGTTAAATTCTGCACACCAGAGAAGTATTTCCTTTCTGTGTTGGAAAAAGGCCAGATGAAAATTTATAAACAGAATCTACCTCAACAGTGAGACTGGAAAGAATAGCACATCTTCCTGGAGCTGGGGTTTGCAGGCCCTCAAGTCTTCTCACTACTTATCATATCTAAACCCAAATCACAGTTCTATGTGCCTTGTAATCTCTTCAGAATGTGAGACAAAATTTGTGCTTCATATCCAAGAAATAGCTTTTCAATGCCAAATCAATGATTTATTATTATTCATTTGTAAAAAAAAAACCCATGTTGATAAGAGAGGACAGCAAAAAGAAAAGGTTGTGTAGCTTTTTATGTATTTTTTTACACTGATGATCTGTATTTTGATTTCTAAAGCAATGCTTGAAATTGCCTAGTTTCCATAAAGCCCATCTTCATGACTTACCTTCTTCCCTGTGATACAGCTGGCAGTTCCACAGTGATGAGCAGCTGTCGAAGAGCCTCCTCCACTTGCAGGCCAAGACCTACCAGCTTTTATGACATTAAAGATGCAATTTTGCTCAGCTCTGCCAGGACTGTGAATAAAGACTCTTGTCTCAGATACTGACAACATTGACACACATCATCCAGTGATGAGTTTGGTGTCTTGAAAGGATGGAACACTGTTGTGTTCGATTGGTGACTCGGCAATCTCTCTTGGCATGATCATGAATCACCTGGATGGTTTTCTTTGTGCCTCTCATGGCCATGGCTTGAGTCTAGCAGCAGAAATGCTCTATATTGTGTCTCTCTCCTACCTCTCTGCTTTGGAAATACAAAAAAAAAAAGGGGTTTTTTATGGTTTCTTGAAAAATATTTTGTCTTCTGAGACCAAGCATAAAAAAATTGCTGTATGAAAGGATATATCACCAGGTACCCAGCTGTCACCTGGGCTGTTAAAGCTCTTACATAAAGCAGATTTCAGGAGTAGCTTAAAAAAAAAAGGCCTGCCTGGAGTCATTTGACAAATTAGAAAGTGTGAGGCATATAAATGTTTATGAGATGTGTCTGTGCTTACAGCCAAGCTGTACAAATTGTCTTTATGACAGCACTGACTGTGCAGAGCAAAGGGGACAGCTGCCTATTCTCTAATGTCAGCTCTCAATCAGCAGCAGCCCTCTCTTTTGGGTGATTCAGTGTGTCCATGTGGCAACCCTTAGTGGCAGGGAGAGGTATTTACAACTTCCTAACCTCTAAATGAAGTACCGAAGTATGGAGTATTTATGCTTTGCAGAGAGAGAAATGTCCTCCAGGAGAAAATTTAATGCACCAAGATAAGTGCTGCTAAGTAAAACGTGAATTCTTGCTGACACAAGAGTGCAACAGCAAAACAATGACCATGCTCCCTGCAGCACCCACAGTTTGGCTTCTTATTTCTACAGTGATGCAACTGAAAGTGCATTTAGGCTCTTGAATGAAGGAAATATAATAGTTCTGTTAAAAAATGATCATTGTTACTCGTCTTTATTTGCCAAGAGGTAAATTGGGTTCATATAAACAAGAGGTGTCATCCCTAATGCAACTGGGGCTGACCCTGTGACAGATGACATGACATGACATGACATGCCAGGCCAGGCCAGGGCTGCCTCAGCTGGCTGCTTAGCTGCAGACCCTGCAGGCTGACGTGCCCTGTCCCTGCTCCCAGGCTGTTTCAGACAGCATTGTACAGTGGCACCTGATCTGGATCTTGGTTATACCTGTGCAAATCCACTGCCCCTCTAGCAAAGTCAATCGCTGCAAATTAGTGCATAAATAAAAATGACCTCAGGTCCCAGAAAGCTAAATCTCTGCTTTTTAGATAAAATTACAGATTTTTTTCTCTAGGATCAAACTCTGTGCAGGGACACACATAGCCATATTTTTGGCTTGCTGTGTCTGAGGGGACAGTGTCCTCTGACCGTACTTTTAAAATGTACAACCTATAGTCTGAGAAGCTATTTGTTTCTCAAGATTTGGTGTGAATAATCAAGAAATTTGATCTTTAGGTTATGTAAAATCAGCACTGATCATTTTAAAGAGTAAAAACCTCAATGACGTTCAGATATTGCAGTAAACAAATTTGAAATGCAGGAAAAAGAGATGATTTTGAACTGTTCTTTCCTCAGTATATACTTAATTTGCTGAAGATACTCTGCTTTGGTAATGGATCATATATTTGGTGCCTGAGCATAGTTGGAATTCTTCTAACATCTGATCCAGAGTGTTTGACCACACCAGGAGAACCTTTCACAGTCACAAATGCTCATAAATATTTATTAACTATGTTTTAATCTTTTGGCAGAGATAAGGATTGTCTGAAAATATGGGAATCATTAAAAGATGTGTTCATTTACAAGAATCCCTGTAATATCACACCAGAGGATTACCAGCCTTTAATGGAGCTAGCGAGCCATCCCATACCCTGCAACAAGGTAAGAGCACAGGGCAGGGTGGGCTGGGCTGGGATGCCAGGTCTGGGCAGTGGGATCTCACCCACAGCAGCTCTGGGGGTCTGAAGGTCAATGAGGATGGCATTTTACTTCTGCACTTGCTGCAGCAGTCCTGCAGCCACACCTTTGGACCCCAGTAACCCTGCCCATCTATCGCTGGGAGTCATCCCTGTGTAAGGCTTGTCTCGAGCCAGGATCATCCCAGTGAAGTGACTGGGATGTCCCCATTCCCTGAGCATGTGGCTGTCTGTAAGGAGCATGCCATCATGCTGTTAGAGGGACAGTGCTTCCTGAAAGCTGTTCTTCCATGTGCAGCTCAAAAGCAAACAACAAATTTGGTAAATATCCTGTGCAAACTAGCCAAACCTTTCTTTCAAAATCCCTTAAAACCTAACTATGTCCCTTTCCACCAAAAAAAACCCCACCCAAAATATTCTGTGAATGACAGTGTTCAAATAAGGACTGACCCACTAGGGTGAACTCGCTGCATTTCAATAAAACTAGAACTCCTTCATTATCATTAACTTTCTCCAGAAAAATTTGCTGGCCAGCTGTAGTATAGCTATCACTTACCAGACATTGTACCTCATTTCACAGTCACTGTTCTGGAGCAAGACAGGTGACCTCGTTCATCGTTATACAAAATCCAATCAAAATTTCCTCACCTTGGAGGACACCTTGTTGGGTTATATGGCTGATAGAATTTCATGGTGTGGAGACCCCTCTGCCCCAGGTAATTACATCTAAACACAGTCCTTTTCACATCATTTTCTAGTGATTTAGTTTAAAATCTTATCTGTCCAATATTTTGGAAATCTGAAAATAACACCTATTTCTCAGGTTAAATTAAAACCCACAGCTTTGGATGTTATTTTAATACCAAATTGTTGCTTGAACTAATGGCCATATCTAGCCCCCTGTGCTTTGTTTGTTTGCTTCTACCCTGTGGTTCCTATGGGACAAACTGCAAAGCAGGAATGCCATTCAAGAAGGACCTGGCCATGGGCCAAAGTGCTGGGGCAGCGTGCAGGAGCCTTGGAGGTTTCACTGCCCACGGGGCTCCTGGGTTGGTGCTTTAGGCTAGGAACCTTTAGACTGGGCTGGAATTACTGAAAATGTTGTGCAAAGTTTGATTTTTCAATGCAATCAGACAGTACTTGTCAAGAGCCAACCTGTTTCTCACAATTGGGGTTGTGTGTTTTCCCTTCTCTGTTTTCTGAGAGTTCTTTGTGCAATTGCCTCCCTGAAAATACTGTGAGCAAACAGGAAGATCTTTGAGCAGATGCAAATTCCTTTTCCTTTTAGAGCCCTCTCCCCATTTAGCTTTCTTGCTTTGGTACAGGGCAAGTCTTTTTGCTCACAAAGCCACATGAGCCTTGCAAAAATATTCACTCTAACCTTAGCTGTTCTGTAAATATATTTTTTTCTCAGGAATCAACTATGAATCTTGTCCAAAACGAAATGAATGTGAGAGCAACCCTGGCTCAGTGTTCTGGAAAATGGCATCCAAGATGGTAAGATCTGGAATAAATCTCCCTGAATCAAAAAGTGAGGAAAGGCTCTAAGTTCCTGACATTGCCAAAAAATATGATTTTGCAGATTGGACTTAAAAGATGGAATAGTAGAAGTTGACAAAACTTTAGGTCCAAGTGTTAAAAATCATGGTGTTGGAATCCAAGGTCCCATATTTTATGTATAACATTTGATGTCCTTGTAGTTCAGGCATTCTTTTTGTGGACAGAGGCTGAGTGTCAGTGTCTAGAACAACCCTTGGCAGAGACCTGGAGCTCTGTGAGCAATACTCACAATTATAACAATGACCTTAATTAAATCACAGAACATAAATTGCTACGGTAAAATCTATTTAGCATGCTAATGTGGAAAGCAGCACCCAAATTGGCACAGACATTTTCCAAGAGGTTGAGAATCCCCTTGCACTTCCCAGCATAAACCTGAAGAGCACATCCTCCCACATCAGTACCTGGCAATGCTCCTGTGATGTCCCCACCCGCAGACACATGCCAACTCCCATCACAGGAATGAGATCCTGCTAGTCCCAGTTAAGCAATTACCTGGCTTTGTTGAATCAGCACTTTACAGGAACAAACTGCCAGAGAAAAACCTGATGTCCTGTGTGCTTTAATTTTACCTGTCTCTCAAGATTTCACACTTGGTATGACTATTAGGAGATGACTACCCAGGTGGAAAACAAGCATTCCTGTATGCTCCAGTTCTCTTGTATGTAAGAAAAAGTCTACTCACCATAAAAAAAAAAAAAAAAAAAAAAAAAAAAAAAAAAAAAAAAAAAAAGTTTTGTGGGTAAACTAGGAGCTAGGAGTGAAAATGGTTCAGTTCCAGAGTCTGTGAGAGAGAGAACCACATAGAGACTCAGGTTTGCTCAGCTGCAGGCTTCCTTGCCATATAAATTGAAGATCTACTAAAACTCATGCTTAATACATTTGAAAGTAATGCATAATGAAACTTCCTGAAACCTTGCAGCTCTCAAGATCTTAGTCTGAGCCACATTGTTTATGAGGACATGAAAGATTTGATAAGTACAGTCACCTGCATTAAGCTTTTAAAAATTCTTTGCCTTTGGCTTATATATCTAGAGTAGGTACTTTATATGGTTGGACATGAGTTTTAATAAATAAAAAAGCAGTCATTACATGATCCAGTATACTAAAAATCAAATCAAAAAACTTTCAGTGATAATTTTACTAAAATATCAAGAGAGAAAAATCCCAAGCCACAAAAGAACACAGAGCATGAGTCACAAGGAAACAAGTATGTGGTGGTTTGTGTGTCTTTAAACTAGTGATACCTCTGTTCTGGCTTGTCCTTACTTTCTGAGCTAAAGCAGTCTGAGGATTACTCTGAGTTACTACAGACAGCTGCAGCTGTAAGGGCTCTGGAAAGCCCTATAAAAACTGATACCGGACAAGCTGCTGTACCAGTCCCATGCAACCTTAGATTGCCAATTCATAGCTGTCTAATGAGGCTTTATCACAGTTTTGCCATAGCCTTCAGAGGCTTTATTTTTTGCACTGAAATGTTCTGCAAAAATATTGCACAGATCCTCTACTTGTATTAGACAGTTCTGATGACATCAATGAATTCTACCAGCCCCAAATCTGTCATGGCACTGCAGGTAGTGTCAGAGTGTAATGTCCATTGGTTTGGTTCAGTTTGCAGAAGCAGCCTGTGGTGTGGTTCAAGTGATGCTCAATGGATCAGTAGAAGCTGGAGCTTTCAGGAGCAGCAGGTATTCACTCAACACAAATCCATTCACGTCTCTGTGGGGCTGCATGTGGCTGTCTGCCTGTGAGTCCCAGTGCAGAAGGGATCTTGGTACAACTTGGATGTTGTAAAGCTGATTCTTTTCACTCCTTCTATTCAGAACCTGTAACTGAAATCCTTCAGAGGGTGTGCGGGTGGGGTATGCAGTGTGCTCTTACTGTTCAAATGATTATTACAGTTTCTTTGATTTTACTTCACTAGACTTGGCTACCTGGCTGGAAGTGTAGTCTTGAATAATATCAAAAGATGAAGAATATGCTTTCTGGGGGAAGAGCCATGGTCATTTCCCTGGCACCAAACCAAACCAATAACCAGGAAACTGAACAGGAAGAGAGGCACTAAAGATGGCAAAACTTCAGCTTGTTTCTGTCTGCAGGCAGTATCAAAAGTTCTCCTGAAAGTGAAATAAGAATGGGGAGACAATATTTGACCATAAGGCAATTAAATAGTCTGTGAAAATCTGTTGGCAAGATAATGTTCCCTCACAGAGTGTAATAGCAGCACTAATAAGCACTGGTACTTGGGAGGGGGGCATACTCTACATCTTTCTGAGATAACTAAGAGTGTTTTGCTGTTTCATGTTCCATTCTTACAGCATTTTTGGAAGTATTGAGATCTTTAACCTGGATCCAGATAAAGTCACTGAAGTGCACATTTGGCTTATGCAAAACATTGGTGGACCTCAAAGGTAAGTCACACTGGTGCACAGTGATGAGCAGCACGTGGAAGGCACAGGGCACAGCTCAGGTCTGGCAGCAACACTGTCTAAAACTCATTAAATCTGCTTTACACTCACCTTCTAGGCACTTTGTGCAAAAAAAAAAAAAAAAACCAAAAACATTTGTACTGTTGTTTCCCCTAGTATTTTTTGTAGGTACTGGTGAACGGTTATAGGTAAAACACAATGACATTTTCCTTGCTTTCAAGAGGTCCTGTGACCTTTAAGTTCCTTTCAGCTGCACTGAGGTCTACAGACCTTTGCTATGGGTGCAGCAATGAAGTCAGACACCAGGCTATGTCTGCAAGGATAAACATGTCCATGTATCCATCCAAACATGGATATGTTTGTCCACAGGAGTAGTATAATTATGCTGAGCCATTTTTGAATGACAGAACAGGTTGTGGAATGTTCATCTCTGAACATACTCAAAACCTAACTGGGACCTGGGCAACCTTTTCCAGCTCATATTGGTTTGATCTCAAGCAGTCTCTTCTTACCTAAATAATTCTGTGATTTTTAATAACAAATCTGTAGTTGAAATGTTTACCATGGAATTACTGATACCAGAACAGCAACCTCAAATCACATCTGAGCCTTTCTGAGTGATGTTTTTTATCCCAATCAGATTCATTTGCAGATCTACCACATCTGAAACACTAAGCATGAGGCTCTGTGCCTTTGACCCCTCCTTTCAGAGCCAGTTCTTTGGCTCACATGGTCATAATGCCCTGCCACAGTTTTTCCTATTCTTAATGATCTCCACGACAGAAACAGCAGCTTTGGTGCCATGAGTCAGGGAGAAGGCTGTGACGATGCAGTGCAGCTCAGGAAGGAGTGTGGCCCTTGCTCAGACAGCATCTCTCTCTGACACAGTTCCAGTGTTGCAGCCCCTCCCTGAGCCCAGACACCCAGAAGTGTCTGTCCCCTTTCCACATGAGCTGACACACTGCCATGGTTCACATGGTGCATCTGTGCTGGGGTCAGCATACCAGACTTAGTCTTGTGGTCCTTTGCATAACTGTTTGCTGGAGAAAAGGACATTGAGTGATCTTTACATCATTTTCCGCACACATGGCACCAAATCCTTTGTCCCATCATTTCCCAACATCAGAAATTTTTGCTATGCTCCCCCTCAGCAGCTGCAACAAGGCAGTGCCCTGCCAGCCCTCTTGCTGGATGCATCCTCCCCCTGTGACAAGTTCATAGCAATTTCCTTCTTATTTTCTACTTGCTTCTAAGGAGAGAGTGGGGGGGTAGCCCCAATAGTTATAACTTCTGATTTGTATTCCATGTTGAATCACTGATAACTTGTCAAGTCTAATGAGGAAAAAAGAGCTGGCAGTGCTCTCCACTAATGCCATATGTTAGGAACTGGATTTGTCCCCAGTAGTAGAAGGGAGTCCTGTACTCTGGATGAGGAGATGATTTTTACCTTGAGGTAACAAGACTTTTGCTGTGTCTCTGTCTGTGCCTATGACATTTGTCAAACCTCTCACTACAGCTTTGGGGCCCTTGGGCTATTTAATAAAATTAAACATAGAGATACAGGTCTTGAAGGTATGAGAGTGCTACATGCTTCTTGAAACTTTTATCTGGATGGGAAAGAAATACACACGTTAGGGCTCCTACCAGTGCAAAAGTGGCTGAAACATCCCCTTGCCAAAACAGAGCAGCAGCAGCAGCAGCAGCGGTAAACTGAATCAGACACACAGGAGGTGCTCACAGCCTGCTTCCTCCCCTGCTTTCTACCAGTTTCCTCCTATCTTACTTCCTACCAGGGACTTCACTGCTGCCTTTCATGGCTGACCTTTTCTCATCACTCAGAGGACTTGACCCTTTTGCCCTTTGACAGATTTCAGTAAGCCTTGTATTGTGCTGCTGTGGGTGGAGCGGTTCCAGAGCGTCCTGAACTGGGAATGGGACTGAGCCACGTCCCACAGATGTCCTGCTGCACAAAGCTCTCATGCAAGATGCACAGCTGGACATCACATAGCTTCTACCAGCAAGGGCCCAAGGGCAGCCAAAGCTCCACAAACCCAGTGGGCTTCTCAGCACATTGGCAAACAAGCTTCTAAAGAATCTTACCTGTAATAAAGCAGCGACACAGTGTGGAATTTAGGTGAGCATTTTGTACTCACAAGGAACACAAGTAACTGAAGTCTTCTCTCCACAGTGAATCCTGCTCAGGTCAGTCCATTCAGAGGTTAATAAGCATTTTAGAAGAACGAAACTTTAAGATCATCTGTGAAGACAATTACAGGTAATTATCCACTCTTATTGGTGATGACTTTGCTAACATCAAACTAATATTGCAGGTTTACAGGAAGCTAGAGTGGACTTCCTCCTTCCTGCCATGACATCCTCCAGTCCCTCCAGTGGGGCTGGGTCCTTCTCAGGGGCTTCCAGCCAGGCTGCAGCCCTGGGGCTGGCTGGGTCTGGGGCTTGCTCTCTGCCCTACACTTCCCATTGAGCATGTCAGCTGTTTTCAGGAAGGGAGCAATCTAGCCACCAGATTTTCTTCAGACTGGGTTTTTACCTAAAATACTCTGAACCACACAGGCAGCTTTCCTCCCTGCTGCATACAGATAACACAAGGTGCCAAGGGTGGGCCTTACTTCCTTCACCATGGTTTGAGCATGCTTTCTGTCCTGCTGCTTTGTCAGAGAGTGAGGCATGAGACATGATAAGCGTTACTAATTACTGTAATTTACCATTGTCAGGAGCAAAAAACAGGAGTCTGTGAAACAGCAGCCCAAGTCCTGACTTGCCTGAAATCTCCATCTTTCTGCTGAGGAAACATAAAAGCCAGAGACCCTTTATCCCTATGTGTGGGTTCAGAAACCTTCACACAGAGCAAAATTTTTCTTTAGAGACATTAGAAAAGTGGCAAACGTTCAATATTGCTCATATCTTATCTGTCAGGAACAGCTTTTCAGTGTCAAGGACTCATACTTTGATAAGAACATTTCCAAAATAAACAAAGATTTCTATGAACTTTTGAGTTTGTGACAATAGTTTAAGTAAGGAAAAATTGGTCTGCAAAGGAGAAAAATGATAGGTCTTTAAGTCTGAAGGCAGAGCAATGTATTCCTGTCTGGGTATTGCCGAACCTGATTAATGGGTGCTCTGCACTTTGTGAAAAAATTAGCGCTGGTGTGCAGCATAAATCTGCCAAATCATGTGCTTACTTTCTCTTTGGGTAAAAGGAACCTTTAAAAAATACTCCGAGGACCTGTAAGTAGGTACAGATTATTTCAGCCTATGATGAATTAAACTATGGGAAGAGGCAGGAAGGGGAAATATACAATAGCTTAGACCCCTTGTGGATCAGCACAGGGAGGAGCCTGACACTCATTGCTGTGTCTCACAACTCACAGCTGAAGGTAAAGTGACAAGTAGGGCTTTTTGTCAAAGCTCAGCTAACACATACATAAACAACTGGGTTGAGCAACACAAACAATCAATTTTGCTATTTCATATGCATAATAATAATAAAATAACAAATTTACAGGTAAAGCCAAACTTCAGGATAGACTGTGAAGGTTGACTTCACTCCCCTCTAGTCATTGCAAGCAGAACCATGTGGGTCTGTATCAGCTGAACATCTGCCTTTGCATGCCATGTAGCAACTGCTGCTGGTCATTTTCTCTTGCTTCTCTCCGTGTCAACAGTACCTTCCAGAAGTAACTCTAAAACTGAATTCACTGGATGCATTAGAAAAAATCTCATCATATCTGACATTCACAGCAACAGCTTTCTGTTGTAGCAGTAGGGTTTACCAGTGAGTAAGACAGATGGTGAGCTTCCAGCATGGCAGGAATTCCACAGTCTGTGCAAGAGATCTTCCTTCCTTTTCATAATTATTTTTTATATTGCAGAATAGCTGCCATGCTGTGAGGTCAGATCCTACTTTGGTTTGTACTGATTTGCCCTTCTCCCTAAAACCACCAAAGTTAGTTTTCTGCAGAAAGATCAAAAAGAATTACCCTAAGAAAATTGATCTGCTTAATAAGCATGGATGTAACATGTACTTTGATTTTTCACATCGCATTCAGGAGCTGTGAAGTAATTCTGTTGTACTTGCAAATTGATTATTAAATATTTGTTTGTTTTGTGTCTAATTTCAGGCCTGTTCAGCTCCTTCAGTGTGTGCACAACCCAGACCACACAGACTGCAGGCTTTGCACCAACAGCTCAGCAATTCCGTGAAGCAGAGTTCTCCGTGCTACTGAAGGATTCCCTTGCTTGTGTGCAGAGCTGGAGGAGATTTGGCTACATAGCTAAGAGTGATAACAGTAGCATGGTGTGTGCTGAGTCCATAACCAGAAGTCCTTGCTGTGATACTAACAGCCAAATAGCAGGAGATGGTACCTGAGGTGTGCTGCTGTACACACACACACACAAACACTGTTTCAGACGGGCTGCGGCTGTGGTCAGCGATTGAAGGCAGATGCTTTGCCCTGGTTTGCTCCTTCCTATACAGCTTGCACAGAGCAGGGATTCCCTGGGGCATGCACAGAGAAGAAGAGACTTTCCAGGGTAGGCAGAACTCACCTAGGTCAGTGTTCATCTTCCTTCCTGCTGAAAGGTTCAGCAGGAAATGGCCAGGGCGTGCTACGTTTTCCCTGCATCCCAGTGCAACCTTCCCCAGAGGGGAATGTTTTCATTGGCACATAGTATAAATCACGGCTTTCCCAGGTATTGTGGCACTTCTGACCAGGCAAAGCAAGCAATGGAATAGGCAGAGCAGTTCTTGCCTTTTAATGGGTATCACAGTAAGCAGCTGGTGGGAAGACAGCTGAGCTGAGCTAAGAAAAAACCAGAAACTGCTCAGAGGGTTGCCTGCACCTGTAAAAACTGCTTAGTATGCATCTGGGAGAGAAAATAGTGAGACTGACTCAGATAGCTCCATTAAAATCCTACTGGATATACCATTGCGGTCAGATTACATTTTGTTCTTTATATAGCAGTAAACAGTAGCCTTCCAACTTTCAGAAAAGGTCCCTCAGGCCACTACTTGGCCATCCACTGGAATAGAAACAAACATCAAACGGTTGCCACAATAAGGAGCCTCTCTTGACCTCAGTCTCTGCAGTGAAAGGTGATGCCTTGAGGTGTATAATTCACAAGAACAGACGTGCCAAGGTGCACTGAAGCACCAGGTTTCACTGATTTCCTTTGATTTCTATTTTACCAGTCTCAAGTGCAGTGTTTATAGCAAAACGAGTATCTGAGGCCAGCTTGTGGCCACGGCTGTAGTGCCTCTGTGCAGTGCCATTGACACGAAGAGAACAGAGCAGGCTTTGCTACAGACATTCTCCCAGGTGCTGAGGTGACAGGGTGACCAGCAGCTGCCAAACCTTTAGGCACGCTGGGCTTTCCATGATCCCACAGGGAGAAGCTTGTACTGCCACGTTTTAGTGACTACCCAGAGTGCAAAGCATCCTTATGGAACTACACAAGCTGGTGTAATTTTGAGCCTCTCTAGACAAACCTAATCTATTCAATAGCAATAGAAGGCCTGCACTGAGCCTGGCTGGACCAACCCAAGACCTCACCCATAATGTTTACATTAAGTGAAATGTATTTTTATTTGCGAGTTGTTATGTAACTACTTAGATGAAACAACATAGACACAAACCAATACTTTCAAATAGTATTGACTGTTTCTGACTATCAGTTTGTCTTCATGCTCACTTTTGTACCTCTTCTGTTGCAATATGTTGACTGTAAAATCAAGATCTATAATAAAATTGCAGATGACAAATGTTCTTAATTCAGTTTGACATTATACAGAACCTCAGAAAGTTAAGAAAGAAATATTCTCAGAAGCCCAAAATAGGCCGCTTCCTAAAAACAGCTCAGAAATCTGTTCAAGGTATGAAACACTGCATGCAACCACCCAGGAGAGCAGAGAAACAGAGCACAGCCTCCTCCCCAGCTGTGCTCTTCATCTGATACAGAGAAGTCATTGTCTTTGTGGGTGGCTGGAAGTGAAGCATCCTGAGTCTTTATCTTGAGCATAGATTGTTCTTGGCCATAACAGTTAAGAAAGACGATTGTTCTTGTCAGTGGTTATGTAGTAAGATGCAAAGAAGCCAACTGTGCTTTTGGAAGCTGAGATGCACAATTAGTATGGGCAACTGTGCTGGAGTAAGTGATGGCTTTGTAATGCAGGTGGCAAGTCTGGGCTGCTTGGATCACATACATGGCAGAACATGAGCAAGCTCATTTCCAACAATCATTTTTATTATGCATGATCACACATCTGAAATGCCGTGCAGACATGCCCTGCCAGGAAATTATACTTGCAAATCCCATTGCTTTGCTGAAACCTTATCAAGCAAAAAACCCTTCCAAACCAATACAAAGTGTTCCAAATCCACAGAAAATAAATAAAATGAAAAAATGCATTTTTCCCACTCTTGGGAATATATGTTTCTTAATATGGTTTGGAAAAGATTGGGTTTTGAAAATATGCTTTTAGTCTGAAAAAGCCAACTCTCATAATTTGTTCAAGGTGAATAGGCTGGCTTGTGCCTCAGGCCCACATCAAACTCTGCTACAGTGCTGCCCAGAAACACGGGAGGAATCTGAGTTACTGTGTGATGGGGTGAGATTGATGTTATCACTCCCAGAACCACACAGAGCTGGAAAAGCCACTCCTCTGACCCTGTCACAACAGCATTGCTGCTCCCCTGGTCCTTGATGCACTTCACTTGACCAGAGCCTGCAATTATTAACTTATTAGGAAACAAATGAAATATAGAAAGATCTGTTCTCCTTTGCAACCAGCACTTGGCCTTACGTTTGATTTCATGTAATATAGAATTGTTTTGGTTGGGAGGGGCCCTAAAGTTCACACAGTTCCCCCCCCTGCCATGGGCAGGAACACCTTCCACTAGACCAGCTTGCTCAAAGCCCCATTCAGCCTGGCCTGAGCACTGCAATATGGGGAAAAAAGTTTTGATAGGGGTTTTGATGTGTTTATATGTGTATTGGCAGCATGTTGTGCAGTGGGTCTGGGTCCCCCTGGGCTCTGGCAACAGGGCAGTGTTTTTGGATGGAACCTGATGTAGTGGCAGCACTGCAGTGTCCATCAGTATGAGGCTGAAATTTCCCTTTACTTTTTTTGGGCTACCCTTCATGCAGGTACCTGGGCAGACTCCCTGGTACTCAAAACAGTGACCCTCAGACATCATCTTGCATAAAAGTGCTCAGTAGAAAGAATAGAAAAATGAGATCAGCAAGTGTTCAGGTAGGTTACCCTGCAAACAAGCTGAATTTCAGAAACTTTCTCTTAACAGCAACATCATTTACAGGCTTAAAATGACACTTAAATGGATTAAGTGATCCTTCCTATTAAATAACTGATACTTCCTATTAAATAACTTGAAAGGAGAAATAGCAGATCCAAAGAAAATTTTTTGCGTGTAAAATATGGAGGCTGGTGAAAATATCAAATAACTGATACTTCCTATTAAATAACTTGAAAGGAGAAATAGCAGATCCAAAGGATATGGAGGCTGGTGAAAATATTAAAAACAAGTAGCATGTCTGAGTGGTTATCCCTCTGCTTTGCCAGCAGAAATTTCATTAAATTCCTGATGAACCAAGAAAGGCAAACAGTCTGGGATAATACATTTTTCCTTGCTTAGAAAAAAAAAAATCTTATATGTAATGAAAAAAAATTGTCTAGTTTGAAGAACATGTTTATTTTGAGCACTGCACTGTGGAGCAGGAGGGGGCAGCTGCCTGCTTGCTGTTCCTCCCCTCCTGTGTGGCAGTGATTGCCCAAATCAGAATCCCAGGAAGCACATGGAGCAGCATGTGCTCCACACCGGCACATTTCACAGCAATACAGCTGCTTTACCCCCAGGTCACTTAATTACTGGGATCTGGGCGTGCATGGAGGGAGAATAGAGCAGGGAGGGTTAAAATCCACGCTAAATATTTTAGATAGGCTTTCTGTCACTTAAGGTCAGTCACCTGATTGTACAGACTTCCTCTACAAACAAAAGGACAAGGCAGGCACCTCCTGAAAGCATTTATCCTGCTCTGCAGCACTGAGGGCAGCACGGAAGGGATGATGTGCACTCCAACTCAACATCCTTATCTCTCTCCACTCCCTATGAAAGTTTCCTCGATTATCAGCTCAAATTCATAAAATTAGCTTCCGGGTGGTTAAAGTTGCATAAAATTAACCTCAAATATATTTCCCTGTGAGAAATGTTATGAAGCAGGAAAGGACACCTAAGGATCCCTTCAAATGCAGCAGATAAAAGGCTTTTGCAAAATGTTTAAAAATTATAATTTCACAATCCATTTTCTGAGTATCTAAAGCCACAGTCCTAAAATTTGCTGATGATTTCAGGAACTGACTGTGTGATAATGAGGTCATTTGAGCATATCATATGCAGTGAATTAGAAAATCTGCATTCTGCTAGAGAAAAATAATTTGTTATTAATCTGTTCACCCTAGGTCATGTCTTGTTCTCTGCTGACTGCCTGAATTTCCAAGACTGAGATCACATTTGCTTGCTTTAGGCTTTTCTTTTTCTGCATATGCCATACTTGCTTAGATTTTTGGCCTTTTTTTTCTCATTTTAATTACAGGAGCACAGCCAAAATTGCCTGATGGAACCGCCATGGAAAAAATCTCACAATTTCTTTCCTATGGCCTAGTAAAAATGCAACTGATGTAAATTATATTTACACCTTAAATATCTTAAAGGGTAGCTTAAAAATGGGGGGTGGGGGTGTTTCTTGATGAATCTATAAGTTAGTCAATAAAAGAGAGTGACAATAATGGTTTGCAGAGGACTGGGGAAACTCTGGGGGAAAACATTTTCCCATTCCTACTCTTCTAGGAATAATAATCCAATCAATAGCTCTCCACTGCAATTAGACCTGGGACCTCTGCAGCTGAATTCTGAACCCTCAGGGAATGGACAAAAGGCCTCTTGTGTGAAGACATCAGCAAAGTTACATCAGCAAAGTGATTCTCTGTGGGTCAGACCCAGAGGGGTGTGAAACTCACTGCACAGTCATTTGGAGCCCCACTGGGATGGGTGATAGGCTTCCTGATGATGAGACCCTACACAGAGCACAACTTTGGGCTGTAATAGGTACATCCAACCTGAGGTGACCAGAAGGAGCCAGCTTTCCTTCCCTACAGCAAGCTTTCAACAACATCAGTTTGTGGTTACGTGCTTGGGTTACAGTAGGGAAACATTAAGACTAAGAAGTGGTCTAGACAGAGGTAAATTATAGAAATAAACACAACTGCAATTCAGATTACTCATTCCCTGTGTTAAAATGCTACTAAAAATAGGAAGCAGGAAGACAGTTACAGTCTCCACATTTTTTTATGTTCCAAATTTTCTTGAGTAATGTCAGACACTGCTGAGAGGTGATATGTTGGGCTGCTTCATGGGAAGAAGTAAAATAATAATACATGTCTTGATAAGTTTAAGCAGGTCCTGTATGTTTAAATATTTTTTCATTAATCAACTACATTTTTGTTTGAGCTGGGGCTGCACTGAATGTACTGTGTAGGCAGGGATTAATTTCTATGGCTACTAGGGACTTACTATGGAACATTGGGCAAACAATTTAATCTTCAAATTTGAGATTTCCTTCCTGAATGGGTGGCATGATAAGCTGATATTTTACAACTTTAAGATTGTAAGGGTTATCATCATGTCTAAACTGTTCTTATGAATGTTACAGTGTTTTAGTTTCATCCTGTGTCATGGCTCTGTTTCATCCTCAAGTTGTGCTCTGGGTAACACAGCTCATGCGGAGCAGCCCTGGTCTCGTGCTCTCTGACAGCATGAGCTAGTGAAGCACTTTGCATCACAGGCTGTTCCACCATCACTGAAATTAATCTATAGTTTGCCTATACTGGCCTGGCTGTACAGAGCTCTGAGCT